GCCTCCGGCACCCACACTCATCAGACAAAACCCGGAATTGCTTCCACTTCACGCCTGTTTTCTGTGTGGTCGTGGTATTACACCGGGCGTGTCGGCACATTCGTGCTAAGATGTTAAAGCGGGCACTACCACTGTAAGGATATGATAAATACAAGAGTAAATCGTGCATAAACTCACCTGTACGATTATAAAGATCTAGTGTACTGTTCTGAAAAATGAAAAAGTCGTCAAAAGCTTGCAACTTTTATATAAAAAAGACTATTGGAACCCCTAAATCTCAACTTTCATCATCATCACCAGCTCGCTATACGTCCCCACCGAGGGGCTCGGATCCTACCCTTAATTAGAGTGACTAGGCCATAGTTAACCATGCTGGCCCAATGGATGAATGTTTGTTAGCGTTTGTAACCTAAAGTACTTAACGTATTTCGATGAAATTTGGTATAGATATAGAGGATAGTCTGGAAGAACACATAGGCTGTACTTTAAAATCCTTTAATTTTTTTTATTTGCGCGCGGAGGGAGTCGCTGACGAAAGCTAGTTAATAAATAAAACCAATTGACTGTTCACATGAAATGAAACGCAATGCGTATGATTAAGGTGTCAGATATAAAAGTGATGACAACATAACGAATCCAATGATAATTATACAGCGTGTAATAAAACGTTTTCGACTTGCCCGTATTCAAACATATTACGTTCAGTGTTCGTGTGAGCTTTATAAAACTTATATCAACATGGAAGAGAAATGGTCGTATTTCAGTTTGAAACCGCATTTAAGGAATCTGCGCTACGGTGGTTACTGTGCATTAGATCCCAGTACACCACCGAGACGTTTATATGCACACAAAATGTACATGCGATTTGTTTTATTCGCTTCAATCATTTTCATGATCCAACATGCTATTAAAGTTTATGAAGTTAGTACTTACTTTTGTATATTCCATAGTAATATATTTTGATACTTCTAGATGATAGTTGTGGAAGTTTACAGTTTAATTTTTCTTTTTTCAAAGCAATGGGGTTAATAATATTATATTTTTAAGGTGCGTAATGATATGAACACCTTAATGGACACGATGTTTCTATTGTTCACTTACTTCGGCTCTATTTATAAACAAATTGTAATGCTTTCCAAAGCTGATGATGTGCAAGCACTTTTAAACACAATGAAAGGTATGAAGTGTTTTTGTAATTTAAAACATTTTGACATTGATAGAAATGAACAATTTTAGGTTTATCCAAGGTGTATAAGATGTAATGTTTGCGTCACTGATAACATTCAGATAAAAGCTAATTACATGAACATATGTATCAATTATCCTATGAGTACATGACTCCGAAAAGTTGATCAAAGTTGTATAACTATATCGAATGACTAGCGGTTGTTTGCGACTTCGGCCTCCCGTAGTTAAAAATATAGCTTATATTACTCTCTGATAATACAGCTTTCTAATGGTGAAAGATTTTTCAAATCGGCTCATTAGTTTTCGAGTAATTGCAATATATACAATAATACAAATCTTTCCTCTTTATAATATTAGTATAGATAATAACGCGAAGCCAGATTGAATTAAAATTATGTATCGCATTTGTGAAAATTAACAAAGAACATTTTTTAAATAACGAAACGCAACTTAAAGAAACGTCCCTCAAAATACTAGGAAAAAAACTATAATAAAAGCGTGTAGTATCGTAGTTACCTACTTTACTACAAAATTGGTTGCATTGTTTCAATATTTTTAATTAAAAACGGGTTGCCAGAAAGAATAATGACAGGAAATGAATATGAAGTCGATTGGCTGAAGAGTATTCTTCATCAATGAAAGGAATAACAAAAGCGAATTAATTAAATACAAACGAATGAATAAATCATGAATAATTACAATGCTTTTTATGTTTTTCGTCTATTTTGATGGTATCTAAGTGTATCAATGACAAAATAATTTGCAAGAATCAAAGTCGGCCATTTTGTTTCGGAGATTAACCAGAACCAACGAGGTTTGCACAGACACACAAAAAAAACGCATTTTCGTTATTAGCACCATTAATACTACTATCATCTTCGCGGAATCTGTTTTTTTTTCTAACGAACAGACACTCCAATTTCATTAACTGTATAGATAAAGATCTATTTATAATATTTGTCAGAAAAATATTGTTCCATTATTTCTGAAATACATTTTTCGAAGACACTTTTCTTTTTATAGGAGATTTATTTAACCAACCTGAAGAAAAACACCATAAGCTGCTGAAAGATACAGCACGAGAAGCGAAAATCCTTGTAAACATTTACAGCTCAACATCAGCTGTTACTACTTTTCTAATGGCTTTGTATCTACACATTTTATATTCTCAAGGCACGCCGATTGAATTTTCTATTTGGTTTCCTTTTGAACCGAATACAAAACTTAAGTAAGTCCTTTACATTATTTTGTCAGTTTCGTTATTTTAACATACTTGATCGAATAATTTTTAATATAGTTCAGGTAACGCTTTCTTTACATTAAACTAGCTTTCGCCTGCGACTCCGTCCGCAAGAAATTGAAAAAAAAACATAGTCTATGTATTCTTCTAGTCTATACTAGTGATTCTCAACCCTTTTTTTGTTGCTTTTCAAAATTTGGCGGCACGCAAAGAAAAAGATAAAAATGATTTATTTATTTATTTATTAACACACTGCACAGATAGTTTATGACAAAAATATGCAAATTTGGCGGCACATTGGTTGAGAATCACTGGCCTATACTCTAAGACTATGCAAAATTTCATAGCGATTCGTTTAGGCTAAAAATTCTAACAAACAACCATTCTTCAATCTGAATTTTCGCATTTATAATATTAAGATAGAAGCGAATTTATTGTACAAGGTCTTAGAAACCCTTGGATTTTTGCTTTATTCCTAAAATGTAATAAAATCATAACTTTAAATCACCACTTTTTTTGTTACTGATGTGGTATTAATTAATTTATTTATTTCAGATTTTACATTGCTTTATTTTATTACTACATCCAGATTTCTCAGATAGCATTTAATATAACAACGCTCGATGCATTTATAACATTCTTTATACATCAATGTACAACGCAATTGAATATTTTAAGGTTAGATGAAGTATTTATTTTGATGTTTTAGTAAATTTTAAATACATTGTTAGTTTATTATGAAATGTTATATTTATTATTACATTTATTTTTCAGATATGACTTGGAAAATTTTGTGGACAGCTGTAAAATGAAATCAACTGAATCTAAAATATCTTTAATGAAAGCCTTTGATATGAAGTTTAGAAACATGGTATTACATTTTGTAGAAATTCACAAGTAAGTATTTTATCCATAGTTACAATTGATACTGTCCGTTTTTGTTAAAATACTTATGAAGAACGTTCTAGAATAGCGGCAAAAATATATTAAAGACCAGCTTTCGCCTGCGACTTCGTCCGCGTGGAATTAAATAAAAACAAAAGTGAGTACTATGTGTTCTTCCAGACTATCCTCTACATTTATACCAAATTTCGTCAACATCGGTTGAGCCGTTTAGGCGACAAACAATATCAAACATTCATCCATCTAAACTTTTGCATTTATAATATTAGTATGATTAGTGTAACTTGACTGAGATGTAACCGTAAGACAAAGGAGTAAAGCAATTCCGTGATGTTCCTTTATACAAAATGTTGTAGTAAGAGGAATATCATTATGTTTTGTACAGTTTCACAGTGTAAAGTCACGCTTTCTATGTGACAACGTTTTGTGTGGTTTGTTTTTTTAGATTTTTTTCAAAAGTCGAAGCGACATACGGCGGGGCCGTATTCTGTCAGTTTTTATTCGGTTCATGGATTTTGTGCACCACTGCCTATAGATTTGTTGAAGTACGTATGATTTTTATGACACTAATTTATTAATAACTAAAATGGACGTAGACTGGACATATTATGAGGACTGATAAGGACAAATGGACTAGAGAAATAATGGAATGGTATCAGTGGGATGGGAAAAGACAGAGAGGACGTCAAATAAACAGATGGGATGATGACTTAAGGGATGGAGGAGACTAGCTAAGGACGGGGAATTATGGAAGAATCTAGGGGAGGCCTACGTCAAAGGACAATCTGACAAAGCAACTGGATGCTGAAAATAACTTATATATGTACATGTTGTTTTTTTTTATTATTTTAATACTTTTTATTTTTCCGTATATCATATATTAGAGTTAAATCTATGTAAAAAAATGTCGGAGAATGAAGGCTTATCTTATGTTATCTTTAATTTATTATTAAAAACTCACTTATAATATTAAAACATACTGTATTTTTACAGATTGATAAAACGTCATTAGCTTGTTTTACAATCATACTATTTCTGATGTGCATTTTAGCAGAATTATTTTTGTTTTGCTTTTATGGTAGTAAACTAACTGACGCGGTAAGTATTATGATATTTTTATCTTACTCACACAGTTTTCACAAAATTACGGACTTCTTTAGAAACGTATGTTGTTTTAAAATGTTTGGGATTTTGGATATAGTTAAATGAAATTAATACCGCTCATGTCAACTTAAGTGTTTGGTAAAAGTTACTTTTATTTAAAATGTAAAGATAACTATTTTTATTTGTCTTCTAGAGTGAAAAGTTAATGGATTCCGCGTATTTTTTAGACTGGGTAGAAATACCAATGAAATATAGAAGAAATCTAATGTTATTTATGGAAATGATAAAGAAGCCGATCATGCCTACGGCAGGATCTATAGCGCCGCTTTCAAACACTACTTTTGTTTCAGTAAGTTCAAGGAACCCACAGTGTTTTAATTCATTTTATGTATACTTTACATCGTCCTCATTTTTATTGAAAAAATCTACTGTAATTGTAGTAACCAACTTGTTTCCTTTCCCTTCTTCTAAGAATAGCCACCTCTCTTATTATTTCAAAAAACAATAATAATTGTTAAACTGTTCTCTTTCCCTTTCAGATTGTCAAAAGTTCTTACTCTTTCTACGCCTTTCTAAAAAATACGGAAAATTAAACTTTACCTACTTCGCGCTTTATTCAACTTCTTATGCTTTGAAAATCTTAAACGACAGCTTGAACAGCACGATGTTCGACAGAGGTCGGCACAATGAAGGAGCGGAGGCGATGTAGACAAAAGTATAGCTTAATACAGCGACGTACGTAACAGGCGGCAGCGGGCCGGAGCGGTAGAGAGCATATGATGTTAACAAACTAATTTGATCCCTTCGCTTTTGCGTGTAGTAATGAGTTACAGTAAAAATTTCTCCTTAAAGGTCAGCAACGCATCTGCACTTCCTCTAATATTGCCTATGTCTATGGGTGTCGTTGATCACCTCGGTGTTGCTGCTGCTTGTTTGCACTGATCTCTAATAAAAAAAATATGTAATGAAAATTGATAATAAAGTTTTCATATTTAAAAATTATACGATTTCTAAAGATAACATAATACATATTATTTACAAAATGTAATAAAAAGTTACCATACTCATTTTTGTTTCATTGAAATACTTTTTAAATATTATTTTTAATTACAGACGGGGTCGCAAGCGACAGCTAGTTAGTAAATAGACCTACTTAAATCAGTTGACTGTTCCCATAGAATGAAATGCAGTGTGTGTGATTATGGTGTCAAATAAACTAATAACACCATTGTAAATTCAGTAATAATTACACCGTCCACGTATATGGAAAACTAAACAACTGCCATTTTGGTCAAATTGTGTTTTTGTTATTTTCTTAAAGACAAGTAAATAATGCATATTCTCGAGTCGAGCGATATTTTGAAACTCCAATCTAAAAACGTTCCTCAAATAAAACTAAATACGTTAAAATTAAGGATATACAATAGAAAAAAATAACCATTATAACGAACGGATCTATGTTTGAAACTAGACAGTAAAAATCAACAAAAAAAAATGGGACCTGCAAGCATTACCTTTCGGATAAAAAAAGAATTATCAAAATCGGTCCACTAGCGGCGGATTTATGCCGTAACATACATAAAAAAATACGGACGAATTGAGTACCTCCTTCTTATGGGAACTCGGTCAAAAATATTATAGCTCATAAGCTTAAAAATAAAACGCCCACAAACAAACAGTAAATCACGTTTTTCCCGAAACTATGCTTTTGCAGTTGTTTAGTTTTCCATCTAAGGGGACGTAATACAGTAATTAATTTATAATAATATGTTACAAGAAAAACATTTGTTATAAAACGTTCTCAAGTTGCATGTATTCAATCACAACGTTCAGTGTTCGTGTGAACTTTATAAAACGTATATCAACATGGAAGAGAAATGGTCGTATTTCAGTTTGAAACCGCATTTAAGGAATTTGCGCTTCGGTGGTTACTGTGCATTAGATCCCAGTACACCACCGAGACGTTTATATGCACACAAAATGTACATGCGTTTTGTATTATTCGCTTCCATCATTTTCATGATCCAACATGCTATTAAAATCTATGAAGTTAGTACTTATTTAAGTTTGAATTTTGACGCGCTGACCCTATATACGTATGCTCAATCGTTTGTTAATGATAGTAGACAAAGTTCATAGCGAGTTATTATTATAAAATTTTATTAATATTTTACTTTTAAGGTGCGTAATGATATGAACACATTGATGGACACGATGTGTTTATTGTTGACTTATTTTGGTTCTATTTATAAACAAATCGTAATGCTTTTCAAAGCTGATGAAGTGCAAGCACTTTTAAACACAATGAAAGGTATGAAGAAAAGGCTTACTTAAATTATCGATACAAATACATACATATATTTAATTTAAACCAAGTGTACTGAAGGGCAATAATTGCAGGGAAAAAACCTAAAGTATTTTTCTACTAGTAGTAAACTACTTAGTATTAAAAAAACGAAACCAAGTTGCCTATGTGTTCTTCAAGACTATACTGTACATGCCAAATTTCCTCGAGATCCGTTCAGCCGTTTAAGCTACAAACTCTAACAAACATCCATCCCTCCATATAAACTTTCATATATATAACGTTAATATGAAATATGGTAATATGCTTGATTCTGGGACACATTTAAATACTTTTGTTTTTTATAGGAGATTTATTTAACCAACCTGAAGAAGAACACCATAAGCTGCTGAAAGACACAGCACGAGAAGCTAAAATACTTGTAAATGTCTACAGTCTAACATCAGCCGTTACTTGTTTTCTAATGGCTTTGGATTTACACATTTTACATGTTCAAGGCAAGCCGGTTGAATTTTCTATTTGGCTCCCTTTTGAACCGAATACAAAATTAAAGTAAGTGCTTTGCGTTTTGTTACCTAACAACGTAAAACGTCCGTTGGTTTCGCTACTTATCCAAATACATAATAATCGCCTACCATCGCGCTAGCTACTACCATTTTGTGACAGCTATGTGCAAGTACATGCTAAAAAAAACGGGATTGTTGCTAGCATACTAGTAACCACCGCCTGCACTTGCACATTGCGTTCACATATATGCCGGCCGCACATTTGCCCCGTTTTATACATGTTAATAAAATGCCAACAAGACCATATGAGACGATATATTTTAGTATTACAAATAGATATAGAGAGTTAACGCTATCTTTAAAACATTTCTTTAGCTGGCACATGCATGTCTATTACCGGATGTTTTAAATGTATTTGAAATTACCACCGTTGTTTTCTCTGTAGCTGTTATGTTACAATGTGGTGTTAATAATCAACTTGTTTCAGATTTTATTTTGTTTTATTTTATTATTATATCCAGAATACTCAGATAGCGTTTAATATAACAACGCTCGATGCATTTATAACATTCTTTTTACATCAATGTACAACGCAATTGAATATTTTAAGGTTAGATGAAATGTATTTATTTCGATGCTTTAGTATTATCTCTATACCCGGCTTTTAGTTTTTTTGTGGGGCTTTTTTTTTAGATATGACTTGGAAAGTTTTGTGGACAGCTGTAAAATTAAATCAACTGATTCTAAATTACCTTTAATGCAAATCTATGATATGAAGTTTAGAAATATGGCATTACATTTTTTAGAAATTCACAAGTAAGTATTTTAGATATCTCCTCCTCCTCCTCCTCCTGACGTAGTTAATAGTCTCAAATGTCCATGGAAGATGTTCTAGAAATCGACAATCTGAAAATAGTTTTCAATTAATTTGTCTCTATTTTTTTGAAGAGTTTGAGGGGGATAACAATAAATAATCGTGCAGTTGTTTAAACAGTGGAAACTCACAGTTTGTATGTGTATTTTCGTTGTGTAAAGTGTAGCTATTTTTTAGATTTTTCTCAAAAATTGAAGCAACATACGGCGGTGCTGTATTTTCTCAGTTTTTGTTCGATTCATGGATTCTGTGCACTACTGCCTACAGATTTGTTGAAGTTCGTATGATTTTTTGACAAGTACTAGGTAATAAAGACTGTTCACATATTTTATGACATCATGATGTATTTTTTTCAGATTGATAAAACATCATTAGGTTGTTTTACAATATCATTATTTCTAATGTGCATATTTGCGGAATTATTTTTGTTTTGCTTCTATGGCAGTAAGCTAACGGACGCAGTAAGTTATGATTTTTTCATATTTACTATGACAGATTTTAATATATTACAGCAGATTAGCAACGTTTGTTTTTACAGTATTTTGATTTTGCGTATAAGTGCAATAATATTGCTTACGTCAACTACACAGGCATCAGTTTTAAATTAAAATATATAGAGATATCTATTTTTATTTGTCTTTTAGAGTGAAAAGTTAATGGATTCTGCGTATTTTTTGGACTGGGTAGAAATACCAATGAAATATAGAAGGGATCTAATGTTATTTATGGAAATGATAAAGAAGCCGATAATGCCTACAGCGGGATCTATAGCGCCGCTTGCAAACACTACTTTTGTTGCAGTAAGTACACGGAACACATATTTTTCCAACTTAATCATCAATTTTATTTAAGAACTCTAAGGTTTTGTTGTTTCAACATCTATTTTTTTCCTTCCATTTTGTCAAGAAAATACAATGATTGTACTATTAAGGTTTTATCAAACTTTTCTCTTTACCTTTCAGATTGTTAAAAGTTCTTACTCTTTCTACGCATTTCTAAAAAATACGGAAAATTAAGCTTCGGGCGTTTTTTTACTTCTTCAAATTTCTTATCCTACAGTAAATCAAAAATTATTGCACCATATTAAAATGTTAATATCTATAAGTAATTCATTTTATTTAATAAAAAAACTAACTATCTGCTTGTAGCATGAGTCGTTGTATCGTAAAGTCTAAAGATTGTTGTTTTAATTAAAAGATTAATTCTTTACAAAACAAATTCTCTAACCAATAAATGTTTTATACAATAAGGAAGTTCATCAAAGTTATGTTTCGGAAATGGAAAAGCAAATGGCATATTTTCTTTTTATCATATCTTTTAAGAAGTCATCTTCGAATACAAACGTAAAATACACTGGCCTTGAGTTGTGAATTGAAATATTAAGAAAATCTTGGTTCTCTCAGCATTTAGAATAGTAAGCCGCAGAGAATACCCTCAGGTCATGGATGTTTAACCTAAATACCATCTGAGGCTTCTGATTTTTCGGTTTAAAAGAAATGTTTAAAACTTCATACGAATTCGTAATGTCAAGGCAACATTCAATTGCATCTTTTGTCGAAATTATTTGAGAGGAATTTAACTTTTTATTTCCTCAATAGCATTCGCCCGCCACTTCGTCCGCGTGGAATTAAAAAAAAAACAAAAGCGAGTAGCCTATGTGTTCTTTCAGACTATTCTCTACATCTATACCAAATTTCATCGAAATCGGCTCTAACAAACATCCATCTATCCATCCATCCTTCCAAACTTTCGCATTTATATATATTTAGTATGTTTAAGAAGTGATGATAAATCGTTTAGTTAATTTTATTATCATAATAAATCAATGAAGACAAAAATTTAGTCGTAGGAATTATTTCAATATGATCCTGATCTAATCAGATTAAGGTTTGATAATCCTTAGGGGCCTTTGGGTAAGCCAGTGGAGAGGTACAATTTTAACCAAGCCATTTATTAAATCATACTTCATTTTCATATTATAAACTTTTATCATTTATATTCATTCGTTGGCGAAAGTAAATTCTAAATTCCTATTTAATTTAAAACTATGTTATGACTTTCAGTTATGACTTCAAAATAAAAACGGAGCAAGCGAGTATTTTCGATACATTTTTTAATATAAGTTGCAAAGACTAGCAAAATGCATTTGAAAACACATTGAGTTTTAATAAAATGTAGCAGTTATTGAGTTCGTAATCATAGTTTTCCAATTGGATGCTGAGAAAAGCGAAAATGAAACAGAACAACTTTTCTTTTAAAACATATGACTAGATTTAACTCTTGATAATTTTATCTGAAAAATAGACCTTAGTTATTTGTAATAGGGTTAAAAGTGTAAAAATATGGACGTCAACATGAAATTAGCAAACTATAATAAACGCAGTATAAATAATGATTGATAAATGAACACACATTAGAATGATGTCACCAATTGTCGACGCGTCTTAATCAAGCCCTAGGTATTATTACTTAATATAGATAGTAACATATCTAAATTAAATGAATAGGCCAAAGAGCGTTGTAGTAATCTCATACGTTCATGTTGGGATTAGATTGGCCTCGTGTAAATTTGCTTCACGTTCAAATGAGTCGGTCCCGAGGGTCGCCCTGCTGACGTGCTTGCGGCCTTTTGCCTTTATAAACAACTGTATAGTTTGATGTATAGTCACGCTGTACCTAAAGGGTAGACAGAGATTGCGGATTCCCATTAGGTGTGAATCTGATCACTCTGCTTTTACAATCATATTTTGAATATACTCGTCAGCTATGGTAAATACTTAAAGTTTTGCTCGCTTAGCGGAATGTAATATTTTTCAGACCAAAATTATAATAATTATAATAAATTGATTATGTCTTCCTAATCAATCATCATAAATGTATGTCATTCACCAGATACGTTTACGGGAACATGTTTTGTAGTTTTAATGATTGACAACATAATATTTTCTGTTTCATTTGGAGCAGAAAATAAAATAATTAAGTCATATATAATTATTTAAATTTAAAAAGCAATTTATGTTCATGAAAAAAATAGCTTTATGAAGTTTATTATCTTCTCAACTGGACCCTTGAGATGAATACGCTTATATTCCGTTACTGAGCAAATTACATTTATAATATTTCGTAAATTTTTAAAATAAAAACCCTTCAATGGAATGGAATTAAAGTAACTTAATTTAATAAAGCTGAAAATGTTACTGCAAACTTTCAACTACTACTTTAAAGAGGTCAGGTATTTATTTATTAATAATAAAAGTTATCATAACTGAGAGCATGTTTTGTAATATGTAAACGACAACATTTAATTATACACTGACAAATTACACGATTTCCCTAAGTTTTGTGTTTATTTTCTAACATTAACAATCAATGATAGCACTTCTACTCGGGCTAATGATCCTGGTTTAACTATAGTTATAATATACGATAGGTAGAGTCCTGAATAGGTTGCTAGATATGTATAAAAGTTTTGAAGTTTACATTTTAGTTGGGATATAGACTGTAAGGTTTCAGAGTTACAATATACGAGGACTTACCACTGTCTGTATGTAACCTAGTCACATCGACCCATTCCCATTCCAATAAACGTACCATACTGTGGTCTTACGTTTAGAGTATAAATTCATTTTTAATCAGTAAGTCATAGGATTTATTTTTTTAAGTATCACTAAAATGTAGGAAATTCAAAGAATGGTGTAATTAAGTACACGAAAAAGCAGGTTTAAAATTTATTAATTAACTTAAGTCGGCGTTGTTGATATCTCGTCGGCAGAGGCACGTTTAATTATGTATGGTAATAAGGTCCCTGAGACACGTCCGCTTTTTACGGCACTCATTACCTCGTGTTCTCTGATAATAAAACAATGATAGCGAACTTCGCTTTATTCTCCACATATCCGCGTGACGTCACGTTCATAAGTTACTTTGAAACATGGGAAACCTTTTTTAACATGACCACATAACGTTTTCTGTGTCCATATCACACAAAACTATAATACTCCAACGACGAAAAATCTTTTTTAGTCAGAAAGATTTATGACAAGTAAACTTAGCTATTTTTTTTATTCAGCATTTATTAAGCAATAACTATTTTCATATTGTCCCAGTCCCCGTATACTTTAGGAGAACGTGTATTACCTGTACTACATCTGTATAGAAGGACGTTAGTATCTCAGTTTTTTGAAACAGATGGAAAGAGACGACAATATATTTTTGTACAAATTTTTCAAGAATGAAAACCCACGATTACCTACATTATACGAGACCCGTGCCGTTAGAGTTTCATCCAATTTTGCATTCAATCTAGTGCCGCAAGAATTGCTTCTTTTGAGATGACCCGCCACTTTCATCCCTCGTAAAGTGTGACCTTATCTTGCTTATACGATTTACACCATTGAACGACGACGTTTCAACTATTCCAATTTAAATCAAAACAAAACATTAATACATCTTAGTTCTTAAAAAGAAAAAGAGAAATGTAAAATTTTTAAAAACTTTAAATTGGTTCGCGTTAATTTAAAAAAAGCTAGTAAATATATGCCCTAATTTTACTCAGTGATATAGCTTTCCAAAAACATATTTTTTAAATCGGTGTAGTAGTTTTTGAGTTTATTCGCTACAAACAATACTTTCGTCTGTATTTAATTAAAATTTAAATATTTATCTACGACATTCATTTAGGCGTGCTATTTTATAGTTATTAGAATCTGTAACCGAAGGCATGTATACAGTTTTAATGAATTAACTTCTTTTCAGATGTACGTATTTGTTGGCTTGATTCCAGGAAGTATCGAAGCGATTTTTAGCAATCTTGTTTTTTCCTAATGGTCGGCTTTATATCGATGAAAGTTGAAAGTCGATGAAAGAAGAAATTATATTGATTTTAATACTTTTAGATTGACCAAATCAATGTAGAAAATAGTGTATCAAAAATCTAACTAGTTTCTTTAACTGTCGAACTATTCAGTTGAAACTGTGAGTTGGAACTGGACGTATATAGCCGGCTTTAAAATAATCACAAAAGTTCTATTAACTAATCAAATTATTTTCATTTTACATCACGTCGTTTCTCATCGTGACATTTAAAGTTGTAAAAGTATGTTTACCTCGTTTCATACAAAATTAAAAGAATTTATCTTAATAAAAGTTACAATATTTGCCGGTTTCAGGAATTTCTTAAGCGGTATAATAGATCATAACTTATAAAACATGACACATGGTTGTCATAAGTCTGCGAACAAAACCCAAGCGGAGTTGCAGCCTTGTAATTAAATACGGTGAAGATTTATCTAACAACATTTTTCATATACTTTTTTCTTTCCTTAGTAGCAATTTCTTCGCACAAAATTGCGTGCAAGTTAAAGTAAGTTTTGAGAAAACAAAAATCATACTAATATTATAAATGTGAAAGTTTAGATGGATGAATAAATATTTTTATAATTTGTAGCCTACTCTGATGAAATTTGGCAAAGATGTCGAGAATAGTCTGTCACAACACGTCAGCTCAAAGCTAAGCGGACAGAGTCACAGGCGAAAGCAATATTGTAATAAAATAATCTATACCAGTTGACAAGTTGAAACTAATCAATATTGGATGGATTAATTTTACCCAAACATATGTCATTTGATAGAGTGCATAAAGGATTGCCTTGTAAAAATTTCATCCATCAAAATTTGTACACCAATTCAAAGTTTGCTATTACTACTCGTATGTACTCGTACCTCACGTTTCATTCTGCTTAAAGCAAGCAAAAAAAGATATCTATGTTAAATAAACCGTTATTTTTACATTTAAAAAATGGTGTCCTAGAATTTGAATGTAGGCCACATAAATTGCTATATTCATACTGTACAAATGTACATCTGGAAAATATATTTGGCGACTAATTATAGTTGGTAAATTATGTCCAGTCGGATTTGCATTGGCATGGATTTATGAACATCGTTTAGTCTAGTGTCACATATAATGAGAGTCAATCAAACAACGAGTTTGATTGGGATTAGCAAAGCATTTTACGTTTTATCTGACACTAGCTTTCGCCAGCGACTCCGTCCGCATGGAATTAAAAAAGTTAGTAGCCTATCTTACAGATTATCTTTTACGTATGTGCCAGATTATATCGAGATCCGTTCAGCTGTTTAGACTACAAATTCTAACATACATCTCTCCATTTAAACTTTCGCATTTATAATATTAGTCAGATCCATAATTTCGATTCTGTATATGTTTAAATTAAATAAAAAATTATCGTACGTGAATACTTTGACAATGCTTAACATTGCATTGTAACGATTATATGCACGATTGAATAAATAAATAAACATTTTCAATCCGCATAAGTTGACCACTGCATTGTTGTGAACCGCTTGAGCGGCAGTCAAGGTCTCAGCTACATTGGCAATTGTTTGCGTGATGACGCAACAAAAGTTGCTAAGCGACTGTCCCGCCTTAATTATGAACTGAGTTTCGATTTCTGTGTGTCCCATTGTTACATTACATTGGCCTATATTTTATTTAAAACTAGCGGTCGCCCGTGACTTTGTAAAGACGCTAAAAGTAGCCGAGAGTTTCATGTAAAAATCGATATAATTATTTCTTAAATTGGCAGGAACATACGCGGATTCGTACAGACAGACGGCCAAAATAATGATAATTATATTTTCATTATAAGCATCGGAAAAACAACATGCGATTTTTTGTAGATATTACATACAGACACACCGATTTTATTATTTGCAAGGAGGTTCCTATACAGGTGATACACAAAATCAAATTAACCATTCTTAAAACATTAGGTAGGTATTTCTTTCAAAAACATATTGTACATGTTTTTATAATTCTAGAGATAAATTTCAAGTAATGATAAATTTTCACTTTCTGTCGATTGTGGTAGTAAAAATATTTTTTAGTGCACACTAAATACATTTTTCGTATTAATCCGGACAGGAAGTTCTAATATACATTCGTTTATTAACTAAAGTAACGAGTCGGTGAGAGAGCCTTTCAGCTTAGTTAAAGTTTAAGAGGTTTATCCAAAGCACCCTCAGCTTCAGCGCTCGACCACTTCAAGCCCGTTAAACCTGTAGATGTATTCTCAGAACAAACATTATCTATCAGTTAGAAATAAAGGATATTATTTTTTTGGCTACTACAGCGGTAATTATATGTTATTTTTAAAATTTAATAGCCCCTTTAATCATATTTGCAGAACATAAAACTATACTTTTCATTGTAATTAATATAAAACATTAACATTTTGCGAAAAACTACGCAATTATTGTTAAAAAATTGCCAGAGAACGATGTTGGTGACGTAGGATAGATCTAATTTATAGATGATACCAATGTTTATTTTTAGTTTTACTGGATTAATAATTCAAATTGATGAATTTATAAGTCGAATGTAACGTATAACATTGGAAGCGCATGTGCACCGGAACGAATTTGTGAAAACACCGCTTACGCCGTAGCGTTCCGGCAGTCCTTTTCCTACGGCGTAGGCGTCTACACCGTGTTCAGCTACGCCGCTACGGTGCTACGAAAATTTAACTGAAACAGTTCTATTGCTTAGTTAAGAATGTTTCAATATTATTATTAGTATTTTAGTGATTTTTAACGTATTGAAATGTGAAATGAAAAATGTTGTTCCGTAATCTTTTACTCTGTTTACACTTTGGACTTGTATTGCATACCGTTATTTCTTTAAAGGACAACAGCGGTGAGTATCCGTTTACCTTTTTGATTTCCTTATCGGAAGCCTAGCTTTAATTACAATACTCTTAAATTAGTTGATGTTTACTCTTTACATAAAATTTATTTTGTAAAAAAATAACAACGAACATTTTAAACTACAGTGTTAAAACGTATTAATAAAATAATAGAATTGATTGTACTCATTAATTTAAGTTAACGTTGTTTTAAATGGTCTTTGTAATTTCTTACTATGAAAGCAACAAAAACAATTGTTTGCGGATGATGTATTTAAGGACGGCTTCAACCGACCGACCGCTTCAAAATCGGACAAAGAGGTAGGCAACAAATAGTTTGAATGTAAATATAAACTGTATTGATTAGTTTAGTTTCTATCAGAAATTAAGCAATATTTATGTGCTGTTTATAGCACACTACCTTATCATCATTTTTGTTTTCATTTTATACCTGTAGATGTAATAGAACAAAAACACTTGAATAAAGATAAATTCTAAAAGAGGTTGTTTATAAAATTTACTTGCTTAGTTAATGAGTTTAATTAAAGCTTAATTAGTTCAAGAGATAAGTTTTTAAACATTAAAGACTTCTCAGGTCACTAAGTAAAAAACAAAACGCTCTGAATGAGTGATAAGAAATGGCATTAGGCCATAAATTTTAAGATCAAGGGAAAAAAATTACGATGACTATTTTTATTCTTTCTTACATAGCTAATACATGTATTAAATAATTATTTTAACTAATTAATTTTGTAATTCAATTACAGTTATTTTTATTTAATAAAGTTATACAACATTCGTTTTGTACAAAACAAAACATTTATCCTTGCCACGGTGTGACTAGATTGGTATAGAATCTATTTCAGTGTGCCGAATGAAAGATAGATCGTAAACACCATCTATATATCCAATCTTTACGTAGCAAACGTAACAAAAGCTTTTATAAATACACCTACAAACTAAAACCCTTGCAACTTGGTATTGTGTAATCCACTTTGATTGAAGTCATATTAAATAACACGACACTTTACTTCAAGTTGAAGATATTTCAGAATCTTTGACAACACAAACAAAGGATTAAATTCACAACATTATAAATCCGATATTACCGTACCTGGAACTTACCCTTTGATGTTACTACTTAGTTAAATGTAAACGATTAAAACCTTACACTGCCTTATGCTAGCTGTTTCCCGCGGTTTTACCTGTAACAACCTTTATCTTAACAAAGTTATTCAAATAGAATCTTCCATCCAGTGGTCTTCCCCAATTTATTACTTGTAACTTATTATTAACTAACTGTTGCTTGCGACTTCACCCGCGTGGAATTAAAAAAATGGTAAAAATATAGCCTATGTTACTCAGTGATAACACTTTTTAATGGTGCAAAAAATTTTGAAATCGGTCCACTAGTATTTGATTTATTTCAATACATACAAAGATCCAAAAATACAAATCTTTTCACTTTATAACATCAGTATTGATTAAAAATGGGCTAATACTAGACGAATACCTAATCATTTCTACGTATTTATGTAACTAATTGTTATTCAAACTTTCTAATTCGCGGGAATCAAATTGTCAGAATAATTTATAATAACGCTTCATTCAAAGAAATCGATATCTTTCTCAAGGTAACATTTCGTTTCATTATGTTTTGTTCAAATGTATCTGTAGAAATATTCATAAGCCTTGCGGCTTAAATTTTTTTAAGATACTTTTGTTACTAAAAAGTTTATAACCTTTTTATTCTATATTACTCATAGAATATGTTAACAGGAAGTAGTGTTCTAAAAAGGAAAAATCTCAATGTTTATTCAAATGTTCTAACATTAGTCCTTGGTAACATATATGTACTAATCGTCTAAAGTGTCTAAAATGTTCCGCTAGTCTGTACTAACATTATAAAGAGGAAAGATTTGTATTTTTGTAATAACTATTGAAACTAAATTATTGAAAATTTCGTGAGACATTTTATAATTAATTATTTGCGGCTTACTCACGTATACTTCTTTTTCCGGTGACGGCACCGACCAGTTTCAGACCCTCCGGGGTCCTTCTTCAGGGCGAGGGTTAAGGATGTATCGCGGTCGCGTCACGACTCGCACTGAAGAAGGACCCCCGCAGGGACTGAAACTGGTCGGTGCGTCACCGGAAAAAAAAGTATACGTGAGTATGCCGTAAATAATTAATTACAACTATTGAAACTATTGAAATAACTTAAAAACTACTGGACCGATTTTTAAAAATTTATTTACCATAAAAAGCTACGTTATCAGTGAGTAACATAGGGTTTCTTTAATTTCATGCGAACGCGAGCAACAGCTATTCATAAATATATAAATAACGCATGTTTAATAATTAATATTTATTGTGACAATTCAGCTAATATGATTCTATTATCTCTAATACAGCGTCGCTAAAAGAATCTGTGCTCAGATGTGAGAATAAAAGCGAGCTCAGTGAGCCGTGTCTCAATAATGACGCGTGGATTTAGCGATTCAGGAAATCCCGCTCCACTGAGATTCTTGAATCACACCGTCCTAATGTTAGCATTCTTTTTATTAGTCGGTAATTTTAGTACTCTGTTTTATGATTTTTTTTAATCTTTTAATTATAAATAAAAACTGTTTTATACGTTTTAAGTCCCTAAAGTGAATAAATCTTGAGAACCTTAAAATTCTAAGTAACAAACAATACTAGCTTTAATAATAAAAATAAATTTAATTTAATTATAAATGTTTTTGTTATGAGAATTAATTATTACAAGTAACATTTAATTATGTAAGCTACAGTCTATAAAAATACATACATATTTCACTTAACACACTTCTTTCTACGATATACAAGTATTCCAACTGGCCCATACCTCAAGTCCACTTTTATTGACCTATATTTTAACTCTTAAGCATACCAATACTTACAGTCTAACAAATTCTAATTATCTGTATATTAATAACAAATAAATTTCTCACTAAAACCACGTTAAAATTACTATTTAGTAAACATATTCATTTTTACTTCTAGAACCTCACAACCTTCAATTTCAATTTAACTTTGAAACAATTCCATAAATAACCAAATCACAATAAATACAGGTAAAGGAAATTGTCATATTTAGAGTCGTTTTATGATCACTAAAGCAGTCTCTAAGGATGCATTTAGGATAGATTAGTGATACAGGCATAAGTTTAACAACAGTATCGCGATAACCTTTGTTACCTGAAACATCAGATGGTACGTCTAGTTAGTACAGCTATTTCATTAGCGTACGCCCGGCCAACCGGAACGAAGAAATGTTTGCACGCAACCGCCTCACTTTGATTATAAGAGCCTTATACCTAGACGTTATTCACATTCGCCTAAGTTAGAATTTAATGTAATCCATAGTTCTAGGTAAGCGACAACCGAACGCGACTTCAAACTATGAATTATTTGTAGAACATATTGGTTCTACATTGCTGAATCTTCATTTCTGCGAAATCGACTACAATTTCAGACAAAATAGTGACAGAATTCTATTATTATTCGTCTACAATTATTAACATATTTTGATTCAGTTGTACCTTTGTTATAAACCATGCATTTTTAAAATATCTCTTACAAGTTTTCGCCCGCGACTTAGTCCCCGTGAAATTAAAAAAAATGAAGTAGGTAGCCCATGTGTTCTTTCAAGATATCTTCTACATCTATGCCACATTTCATTGCGATTACTCTAATATACATCCATCCATCCAACCATTTATTTAAAATTTCGTATTTGTAATATTATATTAGTCAGATCATAAACGACATTAATAAAAATAATAGCAAACTATTTGTATATAAAGTTATGCAATACCAAAATAAAAAAAAATAACTTGATGTTTTTACATATTTTTTGATATACATTTAAATTATTCAAGGTGTAATAAATTTTGGAGTAAATTAATTCATCAATATTACCCTAAAAGATATTGATCGGTCGCTTAAAGAGAAATGAATTTCTTATGCTTAGGCAAGAGTTTGCGTGTCAAGAAACAATTGTACAGGGCTAAGGTGTGAGCCGAGGGGTCGCCTGCGGGCTTACGGCGATACGCAGATATTTATACTGACTTTAACAGAACTTAATATCTCAAAACATTATTTTGTACTTTAAATTACACTTAATAAATTATAATATTATAAAGACATTTTAGGAATGTTTATTTTTGGAATTAAAATTCATCAGTTTTTACTATCATTATTTATTTTGTTGAAAACTGTTGACGTTAAGTCACGAAACGATTATTTTTATATTTCCCATTTAAATTATTACATTTCTTACTTTCTAAACTATGACTGAAGTCCGAATTAGATCGAGTAACAAGCAAGAACCCTTTGGCAACGATTACGACTAAAAATAAACGTTTCTCTCTATTTCAGTATAAATTACTTATACGAGTACTCAACCGTATACGTAAAAGAAAACTTGTAGTCACATTTATATTATTTCCAAGAATCGGTCCGTATCGTAGAAACCTTTAGCAAGGAGTCGAGAGGATTACTATTTAGTTTTATTTCCTAGCAATCGACTTATTCAATCATCAAGTAGAAAGAGAGTGGACCTTTTCATTCATAGAACTCACGACGTCTATTTAAAAGCAAGCTTCGACTTTCCTACGTGATGCTAACATCAATCAGACTGATTGAACTTTCAGAAAGGAATTCTACACGTTTCCATTGATGTCTAAATACATTTTAAGTATTGCGAACTTTACGACGACTTTTGCTTCTATCTTTAACTTACTGTTAGATTAAATTATAATCTTTATCGTATACAAAGTAAAAATAGTCTTTGTACTCCTTTTAAAACTGGTACTCAAGAGTAAAAACTTTCAATCAACTGTGACTTTGCACCTGCAGTTTCTTCGACAACCTGAGGCCGGAATTCTAACTTAAGTAGAGACTACTTCTTATCTACGAAGCTATCCGTTATTTTTTTTTACATTTAAATTTATTTCCAGAGGTTCCACGCTTCGAAAACAATATGCCCAACTTGACTGTATCACTGGGAAGAGAGGCAGTATTTACATGCGTCGTAAATGACCTGGGCTTATACAGGGTGTGTATGATTTTATTTTTAGTATATATATTGTTTTAAGTAAAATTTATAGAACTAACAAAATCATCACAAATAATATATTTCTCACGCTTTAGTCGTTTTGAATTATATAATCAGTCATAAGAGGATTTTTGTTGGCTTTTTTAAGATGATGTTATATTTTTATAACAATAATAAATGTGACATTAATACATAGAATAGGGCAATGTTTCCGAACTATACGTTTAAGTTTCTAACTAGAGTCGTCGGGTCGTCTAACAAGCATGACATTAATTAGAGAGGCCTACTGAGCAGAGCTCGTAATGACTTCAAACAAGACGCATAAGAGACAATACGTAGTCACAAAACCAGGGCAGTTATTTGACATTTTTGTAGTATTTTATGATCATTTTGCTGGCTAAAATCCATTTAAAAACTTTTTATAAATACACATTTATTTTCATTATCTATGTCAAATGTTAATATAAAATTTTTATATAAAAACAACAGCATTGTTAGTATTTACAATGTATATAAATTAAGCGGGAACACGTTAAATATTCACCACTATCGTTAATGTTTAATAGAATGTTCTACAACACTTTAATACGTTACTGCATGATTAATATGAATTATGTAGCTATTCTAACAATACAAATATTTAGATTAAATTTTACAATTTTAGTACGAAATATGAACAAATAAAACAAACAGTGGTAGAGCCTGCTTTAACATCTTTGCACGAATGTGTCGACTTGCCCGGTGCAATATCACTACCACAGGTGTGAAGTGGGAACGATTCCGCGTTTCATCTGATAAGTATGGTGCCAGAGGCCCAACATTAGCCCCTTTTCCTTCCCATCTTTTATCTTATAAGTAAAGGATGTAAAAGGAACGTGGATTTGGCGGTGGAGGACACGCATAGTAAGGGGAGACATCCTCTATATGTGCGTTTCTTCCTCCGTCCATTAAGGGTAGGCAACGCATCCGCTATTGCGAATGTCTATGGGCAGCGGTCGTTTTGCTATTTTGACGGATTCCGGGGACAGCTTGCTCGTTTGCCACCCTATGATATAAATAATATCCCCAATGTATATTTTCTCAAATAGGTGGCGTGGTTACGAGTGGATACACAGACTATATTGTCAATCGCAGGCCACGTTATAACGAAGAACCATCGAATCGCAGTAACTCATAGTGACAGGCGCGTATGGTTCCTGCATATTCTGGAAGTGCGACAAGCTGATCGCGGCTGGTACATGTGCCAGCTTAACACTGACCCTATGAAGAGTCAAGTTGCTCATCTAGATGTCGTAGGTAAGTGACAATTGCCACAAACACGTATTATAGCGACTCTAATCGCGCTCGACAGCTATTTCTACGAGCAATGTGCTATTTCCATTGGCATAATGCAACTGTCAGAGAGAAACAGCTCGCTTACTAGGAAAAGGGGCTTATTGTACATACTAGTAAATGTACTCAGTGTAATATCCCCAATGTACTTTCCCTGCCACAATAAATGTTTATAAAAGATAGCCAACAATATATGAATTTCTAATTAATTCATGGTGACAATAACTCATATGGAGATTACTAACTCAATATAAATACTATTTTTTATTTTTATTATTGCTTCTTGTTCCATTGTGCGTATGTTCTGTGGTTAGAAACATCAATATAATTACAAGCATCTTGAACTGTTTATAACGCCTATACAATAAATCTTACTTAAGGCGACGTATCACGTAGTGCGGCCATCACACGTTTTAATGGTCAAGCTACAATACGACCTCGAACACAATTCTATTAAATCACTAGTGTATCGGAATTCCTTACGAAAAACTCTTTATAAGTAATTTGTTTCATTTGGTAATTAATTTTTAAATGATTTAAAAAAAGAATAAAATAAAATATGAGATTTAAGTTAGTCTAACATACGAGTATAAAATGATGTACATTTAAAAATAGTTAATCCTCAATATTTCGTTAAAAGCTTTTTATCATTTTGTAAAGCCATTTTTATATCGAATTTATTTCACATAAATTGTTAACTTATAATTACATTTACTTTACCGTTAGTATTTTAAATAAATTTTATTTTCAACATTTCTGACTGTTTACTCAAAAGTGAAGAAACTCGATATTTTACTAAGGATGTAACCAAGTCAATACAAGTGTATTTGTATATTTTTCATAACAGTGCCTCCGGATATTTTGGACTACGCAACGAGTGGGGACCAGGTTGTGTTAGAAGGTTCTAATATAACTTTACGTTGTGCTGCCCACGGCGTGCCCACGCCCACGGTTATTTGGAGAAAGGAAACCGGAGATCTACTTGATACGAAGAACTTCAGTGATGTACAAAGTAAGGTCAAAGTTTTTGGATACACTACACTGTTAACAGTGGTAGAGCTCGCTTTAACATCTTCGCACGAATGGACCGGATCGCCCGGTTTAATACTACACAGAAGATGGGCGTGATGTGAAAGCAAATTCGCGTTTCGGCTGATGAGTGTGGTGCCGTGCCGTAGGCCCAATTTTACTCCCTTTCCCTTTCAACCCCTTTTCTTAAGAGGCAAGGATGGGAGGGAAAAGTGGATTTGAAGGTGGAGGAAACGCATAGGATGGGGAAATATCCTCTTTTTCTGCGTCTACTCGTCCGTAGATTAATGGTTGGCAAAGCATCTGCAATCGCAGATATCTACGGTTAGCGGATTCAGGTGGCTTGTTCGTTTGCCATTTATACTCGTTATATAAGAAAAACACTCGTTTTTAATGCCACTATATATTTGAATCAACTTGCATTTTATAGGTATTATTTTCTGTTGTTTACTTAATTTTAATATTAATTTCTAAGTCAGAATATTCATTAAATAAAACAGTGTATTTGGATAGTAATGACCATGAGAATGTTTTATATCAAATGTTAACAAGTTGTTCCGAATAAATTACACAACGTCAATGAGGAAGTTTGAACTTATAAAACTTTTTACATTAAAAGGAGTGCTCCGGGAAGTATGTTATACAGGGAAAGCTTCTCTGCAACTACTCGCACATCCACAACATACATTAACGCTCTCACTGCCGCATAATCTGGAGATAGTTAACCGTAACTTGTATTTTTACTTCAAATTACAACTATTTGTACCTTAAATACTTTCTTGTTAATTTTAATCCATAAAATAGATAGTAAATAATTACACCAAACTCCAAAGAAAGGAGTAACAGGCTTTTTAGTTAATTTTCATTATTATATAAAGTCTTTCGACTAAGATCAGGTATTTTTAAGTGTTTTATGTCATTTTCTTACAAGCAAACGAGATATTTCTACAAAATAACTGTCTTAATCATTAGTGTATTTGTAATCCTCAATATAACAATCCGTATTTTCACTAAATAATTGTAGATCGTTATGCTATGTTTCGATTAAGATAATGATTTGACGACGACGCGTGCGCTCCCTATCGCGACTCAAATCGAACTGACAGTCTGCCAGTTTCTCAAGATGGCCGCCCTACCAGTGCTCGGTGTTCGTCATGGGCAAAGACTAAGAGTGAGCGCACACCTTTGACTACGCTATAGCACAATTGTTACGCGAACGTCAATTGTTTCGCAGCCTATTCAACAGTTTGGTTGCACAACTAAAAATCGAGTAGTGTGTGTATCTCGATATAATCTCATAGTATTCAAACCTACACTAAGCAGTTAGCATAGTGTACACTAGTAATAAAAATAACACCGAGTTCATTGGAAAAGAAGCATCTTTTTACAGCATATTCGATGTGTTGGCTACAGACTATTGCTCATTTAATTTATTTCCTAGGCATTATTTACAGATCAATCAATAAGCGGATCAAAGTTAGAAATAGTGAAGATATCACGTATGCACATGGGTGCTTACCTTTGTATAGCCAGTAATGGAGTGCCGCCTTCAGTTAGCAAGAGAATCACGTTAATTGTACATTGTAAGTATATTATAACAAAGCGACACACAGTTACACCTCTTATTTACCTTAATACATATAACTGTTTTCTTTACATTCAAAGTTTAAGTACCAACAGCCTGATAACGTAAGTTAACACTTCAAGTGCCTATTCGGCCTAAGCCTAATTCGTAGTAACTCTAATAGTGTCAAACAATTTTTCGAAATATTGAAAAATCGTACAATTTTTATTACAATTTGGACTTTGCGCTAGGTACAATAAATTTTGAATTGAAACTCTTGTTAGTTTTGATACTAATCGAGACTTTTTTACAGTTCCACCAATAATGACTATACAGAATCAACTAGTAGGAAGTTTGGATGGAGAATCAATTGTATTAGAATGTCATTCAGAAGCATTCCCTAACTCTATCAATTATTGGACGTTTAACGGTCGTATTATATCACAAAGTGAGTATTTTTCTACGTTCTAGAATAATATCCATATCCAATATAATTTTGAATTTTGTTACTTTTCTACAGATGACAAGAAATACGAAATAAAAGCTATCGATCGAAGCTATGAAGTGGATATGAAATTAAAAATTAAAAAAGTAAACAGAGATTCCTATGGTACATATACATGCGTATCGAAAAACTCTCTCGGAGACACCGACGGCAGTATAAAGTTATATCGTAAGTTGATCAATAACCTTTAACATGTTTTGGAAAATTTACTAAATCGAAATAACACCATAATTAAAAAAAAACGATTACTACGTTTAGTTAGTTTTATTTATTCGCGCTTTTTTTCCATTCATTCGAGAATTTTAATCAAACAGTAAATCTATACTATTACCAAAAACGGGTAATATTTTTTGCATAGCTTTTAATTTGATATTAAGTAAGTAATAGTAACATAAAATGATCAACCCCAACCATATAAAATCTATCTATCCGTTACTTGAACTTCAAAGACATTTTACAGAAGCAATAAACTAAAGTCTTACCACACGTGATTTGTAGAAAGCGATTAAAAGTAAACATAAAAGCTATGAAACCTCAGCAAACATAAAAAACCAATAAAATCATATATTTCGCGTTCACAAGAATCGTTAGGATTGGAAAAGTCAATAACGATCCATGCAATCTCGTAGGCTTATTTCCCTCCTATGTCGGATATTAGTTGAAGAAAATATAATGGGAATGATTATGTATACAAGTAGTTCAGTTGCACTGTACAGTAATTTTTTCCTATTCACGAATAGTTTTAAAGGGGACAGATAGAATTTTCAATTAAAACTAAACGTCTGTAGTCTATGTATTTTAATAAAAATACTATTAATGTGAATTAAATCTGATTTTTTAAAATGATAATATCTACGTATAAAATATCAACGCACAATATCCATGTACTTGCAACTCGCGTAAAACTTTCCGAGGAAAACTATCGTGACTTTACTAAAAATAAATTAAATCAATAACTTCTTACAATGTTGCTTAATAATCATGGTATTAATTTTTTGCCCGTATTTTAATACCGCAGTCACGTTTCAAGTTAAAGTAGACAAAGAAAAACGACGTTAAGAAGATTATAATATGGAACTTGAACGCTTCCAAGCGAAAAATAACGTTCAATATTCTAAATTAAAACACCGTTTTTCTAGCTCATTAATAAAAAAAAACATACATTTACTGTTACGTTGGGCTTATAGTTAGTATACTTCAATATACCATAGATGAAAGCACAGCAACTTATGTTTTTATTTAACTAGTTGTTCCCGTGCGACTTCATCCGCATGAAATTGTAAAAACTTCCTTAATGTTGGCAGATTGTAGTTTATGATCCCTTTCTTTCATGATGTCTTTATCCAATTTATTTAGCCCCTAAGTTTAATAGCGTAAAAACATACAGCTCAATTCGTAAGTGTAGGGCTTTTTATTAAAGAAAGAATTATTTAAAAATATGATGTGTTTGCTGACATCCTAAGCCCCGAAGTGTGTTCACGCTTTGTTATTTTAAGTATATATAATTTTCATTATTTCGAAAAGTAAAATAAACATTTGCTACATTGTTATTGGGTTTTAACTTTACATGTTTGAATATAATAATTAAATTTCAGCAATATCCAGTAAATACGAAGACCTGCAGTACAATGATGTGAATATATTCGATAAAAGCCTAGACGTGAGTGAACTTGAGGCGCAGAAGCGAAGTCAGGCTTCCAAACTAGTGTTAAATTACTATTTAGATATTAAGTCAATACTTTTTACTCTAATTGGATATATTGTACATACGCTAATATATTGTTACATATAAACTATGCGTTTTATTTAAAATCCTAATAACAAGAAAACTAGAATTAGATACTTAACTTTTAGCATAACCATATTCAATCATTAGGGAAGCCGCTTGCTATTGATTTGGTATACTAAACCTACACTAAGGGAATCTCTTTTCTTACCACTAAATGACTAAGTGACGCAGTACAAAATGTTTCATAATAAACATAAAAAATTTAGAAGTACTTAATTGGTTTTTTTTTCATAAATCTTTTTAATATTTTTAATGCGAATGTTTGCATTGATGTTTGTTAGACTTGGTAGCCTAAACTACTTAACGGATCTCGATGAAATTTGGCATAGATGTAGAGCATAGTCTGGAAGAACATATAGAAATTTACATCACATACATTTTCATTTCGCGCAGACCGAGTCGCAAACTAAAGCTAGTGTTTAAATAAAACACAGAAGTGATAAAGTTAGCAAATAGAATATCGGCTTAGAAATCTCATAACACTAATGGATACCGGTGGTGTTTGTGGTTCGCTAGTATCTTTGTATAGATGACCTGCATCGCGGTACTCTTTACTTTTTGAATAAGGTTACCGCGGCCACACGTTTCAATGAACGAGCATAAGCTCTTACGAAGTGGTCAGTGGAAACTTTTAGCTAGAAACTCTAAATGTTGTAGAGAGAATTTAATTGAAAAGAATTGGTTATACTATCTAAAACATAATTTCATTCCATACTATGCGATTTCTAGAATAGTCTAGGACAAATAGAATTATGTTTAAAACTGTTCTTAAGTAATAAGTATTTATTAAATAATACTAACGTCGAAATCAAATCATTTAGTTCTTTTAGATAAAGCTAAAAAAATATCTTGCTAATGTTATAAATGCAAAAGTTTAGACGGGTGGATGTTTGTTAGAGTTTGTAGCCTAAACAGCTGAACGGATCTTGATGAAATTTGGCATAGTTGTAGAGCATAGTCTGGAAGAACACATTGGCTACTCGCTTTTGTTTTTTTTATACCACGCGGACGGAATCGCGGGTGAAAGCTAGTGAATAAATAAAAAACACTCACAAAAAATAATCTATTCCATTTATAACAATCCGCTTTTTTTCTATGGTTTTTATTTGACCAAATACTAGTTACTATTTCTATATAAATTTATTTCAAAACTACCGTAGGATTTATATTCACATGGTATAGTAGGTAACTTAATTTTGCTGTAAATCAAGTTATGCTGGACATTTACGTGGCCTCACGTTCGATGGCATCACGTATAAGTCACGTAACGGCTTTTCCACTTATACGAGTATCCTTTTACTACGTTACGTATTTTATTTGTTACGAGAAGACAAGGTTGTAACATTTCATTTGTTCTTTTACGATTACGGTCACTGAATTTCAGTCTTCTACGATGCAGAATTACCTCTGTAAGCAAAACATAAAGATAACATAGACAAATCGTATTTTTTTTCTAAGTCCATTTTGTATAATAAACTTTTTTAACAAATCTTTTATACCAGAAATGTTTTTATTAGGCTTTGGCATTGAATCTTGCAAGGTGCAACTAATTATTAAAAAACTATGAAGTTATATGACTAGTTGTGCGGCTTCATCCGCATGAAATTATGAAAATTTTATTTTATTGATTACATTTGTCAAATTATCAATGTCAAAATAACATGACATGACATGACAAACCTTAGTAATCTTTCTTTCTTGATGTTGGCAGCAACTTATGGTCTCTTACCCAAGGTTTTTATCCAAAATGTTTACCCCCTAAGTTTAAAGACGTAAAATGTATAGCCTAAAGCATGACGTAAGTGTAAGGCTTTTTATTAAAAATGAATTATTCAAAAACATGCTATAATTGCTGACATCTTAAGCAACAAAGAAGTGTGTGTGTTTTTACGCTTTATTATAATAGTATAGATTCATTAAAATTGTTGAAATGTAATCCGAAAGCAATTTAAAAATATAAAATCCTCAAAAGACAACCCTTTCTTATTGGAATCAAATCCGCGAAGTATTAGAGTAGAAAGGAAATTGCTCACGGACGTTACATGATAGAAAAATCTTTCTTCGCATTGTTAGTTTCATTGTGAGATCCCATGTTGAATTGACAATATACGCTGAGAAATTTTTATACAAGAAAAACATAGATTTTACTCCATTCTAATTGTAGTTTTCACAATGATATTAAGACACTTGTTAATTTTAAGTTAATTGAAAATATTCGCCTAAGTAATAAACACTAAACAAACAAGCGTTTAAAAATTAACAAACAAAACATTATTATTAAACCCTTGAGAATCGAACTCTGACTGTCTTTAACTGATAGACTTCAATATATAAATTCCCTTTACCGTTGAAGTATATTGAAACGAAACTAAAACTATAGTGGTATCAAAATTATATCCCACACAATATTAAATTTTGAAAAATTCTGCTGGTAAGCGATACCTACGAGATTCGTAGCATTCTACGGTGCTGACAACAATACCGATCGTAGCATGTAGCAAAGCGTAGCATAAAAGTAGCAACTAGCAAAGATAAAAATAAAAATTGACAATCAACATGAACAAATAACTTGTAATGTTGCTGTTGTCGAAAATTTTAATTAAATACTGTTTGATATAAATCCTGTTATAACTTGAATTATTATTAATTTCTAACGTAAATATGACTATAATAAAAGCTTTTACATTTTAGCTTTAAATAAATCATAATTGACACAGCGGGTATTATCCGTTCGGTTCATTAAGCGTAGCCTTTACTGAAACAGCGCTTGCAAAGTTCAACAAATGACATTAACTATGTAATATATTTGGACTATAAAATATATTTCGGCAATATCAAAAAGCATTAATGCAAAAACTTTTACCAACATGAATTTTAAATTGATAAAATTTAGCCATACAATCATTACCTAGAAAGTCATTCTATTACTACTGATTGGAGGATAATATTATTGGGGGTAAGAATGTATGTCATGTCTGATATTCTGTTTGTAGAAAAAGTGAAAACATTACTGTGTAAGGTACAGTCAGCTGCAAATATAAACACAATTATAGAGCTTCATAAAATAGTTTACAACTCCAGTTCCATAAATATGTATACACGTATCCGTACACATAATTTCTAACAAAAATAGTGACGTATATCATAACTAAAAACGTAAACATGCATTCGTATTATTGAAAAATCCTACAAACTTTATAAAAGCTTTGTAAATGTATTTTGCCGTTGACTGTACAGAGGTAAAAACAAAGGTTACAAAAAACAAGATACCTTTTTTCCTTTAAATTATTTCTCAACATTAACATTAACAAAGGAATATCATTGTTATCGCTCAACGATCCTAACATATATTGATGTCAAAAAAAACCTATTACAGCGCTTTATCCGACCTCCTTTTTGTCAGAAAAACAAAAATAATCCATCGTTATTCTTTAGATCTTGTTTATTTAAGAATCCTTCGTCGAAGTAGATTAAATTCCAGGAACAACACGGTTTCACGTTGTTAATGTTAACATACATTTTCTTTTGCAATACATTTTAGGGAGAAAGGAAATACGAGGTCATAAAATTAATTTTGAGAGATATCTTAAAACGAATCTATAGTAATTTCGTCTCATATTTTATAAAGGACACAAAATTATATTATAAAAAGCATTTTTTGATTCTAAAATAACAATGGGTAAATATCTAACAGTGGTAGAGCCCGCATCTTCGCACGAATGGGCCAGCTCGCCCGGTGTAATACCACGACCATACAGAAAACAGGCGTGAAGTGGAAGCAATTCCGCGTTTTGTTTGATGAGTGTGGTGACGGAGGCCTAATTTTAGTCCCTTTCTCTTTCCACCCTTTTCTTAAGAGGTAAGGATGGGAAGGAAAAGTGGATTCGACGGTGGAGGAGACGCATAGAAAGAGGAAATGTCCTCTTTATGTACATCTCCTCCTCCATCAATCAAGGGTAGGCAACGCATCTGCAATTGCGGATGTTTATGGGCAGCAGTCGCTTTCCATTTCAGTGGATTTGGGTGGCCTCTTACTCGTTTGCCACATTATATTATAAAAAAAAATCTAAGTATCCGAAACAATACGTTCAAGTCGAATATTTAGTGTCAATGACCCCCGACGGTCAAATCGTAGCGGTCAGAAATACAAAACAGAGACATTGAACATTTTAACAACTGAAATTGATAAGATTGATAATTGAAATAAAATACCTTTTACATTGTTTCCGAAATTTCTACGAAAAAATTGTAAAATATGCATCAATAGTATCTGTTTTTGCAAAGTTCATCAGTTATTCAAACTACATACTTTTCACAAGGTTAACGCAAATAACAATAATCTCGTATTTCATTAACATTACAAAGTCTGTACTACATAATTGACTTACCGTCTGTGCTGTACATCCGATACTGTCCTATTAGACCGCAAATTAATGTTAACTATAGATTTAATACTCATTGTAATTTCGAATACGGCAACGGATTGTACACAAAGTTAAATACATAACAGAAACAAAACCACATCACGTATCCAAAGAGAGCCTTGTTGATAACAAATAATATAATATTTATAATTCACTGTTAACCAAAAACCTGACTTGATTTATCAATCAAACTTCATACTAATATTTTAAATGCGAAAGTTTAGATGGATGGATGTTTGTTAGAGTTTGTAGCCTATACGGCTGAACGGATTTCGATGAAATTCGGTATAGATGTACAGGATAGCGTGAAAGAACACATATGATGCTTACTTTTGTTTTTAATATTTCTTGTAAATTCTGTGTAAACTCGCAAAGACGAGAGGTCATAGTTCAACGGAACGGAAAACTAAAAAATGTATACCTACATAGTACGCCAGTATTTTTTTAAAGATGATTTTTGCATTTTATTAAAAAAATAAGTTAAATAACAACTGCATCGTGTATTCCAAAAATTCTTAGTTCATTATCATTGAAAACGATTTTTTTTATTCTTAAAATATTTAAAAATAATTTACACGTTCGAAGCCGGGTCGGCGCTCTAGTTTTATTTAAAATATTGTTTTCTCAAAATATATTTCATTTGTCATTTGTATCATCTGGAGATTAAAACTCACTTTTCATCTGGCGTAATGGCT